AGAGGGATTCGCGGTCCACCCTCTGATACAATTCGGTAATGGGGGCTTTTCTCGAGGGTGGCAATACGAGCGCGAAACAAGTGGCCGAATGAAGCGTGTAAAGGATTGGATGAAACAAAAGGGAATGTTTCGTTCTCGAATGGAAATATGCCAATTCTGAATCTTGTCTTATCGAGAAAGGGGTTAAATTCTGTCATGGAGTGATTTTTGTTCGCGTATTTGGATTTTTAATGATGAAATTTTGGATTAAAGAAATTGGGGAAAAATTAGTCCGGTTAATCATATTGATCTTAATTTGAAGGTGTTGAAGGATTAAACAATCGTTTCGAATTGACTCACCAGTTGCAGACCACTGGAGTTTCTCCAATTCACAATTTTCTTCTTTTCTTCTCAATAACGGTCTTCTAATCCTAAAAATAATAATAATTAGTAGAATTAAAGTTGTAAAATTGATAGAAATATTGAAAAGTCTTTTAAATTATACTGGAAATTGAAATAAGAAAGTTGGAGGAAACGAAAGAATCATAAAGACGATCGTAAAGGATTTTAGTAAGGAGAGAGATAAATGAGAATTATAAAAAAAAAAACGAATATTCTTCTATTTCACTTAACGTGACATAAGTTTTTTACCGTCTTAAAGGTAGAAAATAATCATTAATAAAATCGTAAGAAAGTTCAGTTAACCAAAAGCAAGGATTTTCTATTTTCACGGGCAATTTTTCTCCAGCCCTTTGTAACAGCGGGCACAATGCACAAGGGTTAAGAGAATTCTCGCGTCCCTGGACCGTGGCACGTCGCCTCGTTTACTCGCTAGAGGATTCTTACTAGGCCAAGTGTCTAGGCAAGCGGGCGTGTTTCGTTCTAATGTAATTAATGTCTTCTTCTTTCAACACTCTCGGCCGTGCTTAGCGATGTAAAACGGGAAAAGTGAGAAATAAAAAGTAGATGAGCCGGTGACAGAATTTCGCGACGTTAATGGACGTGGTGCGCTTGCGGCTCGAGAGTGGACCATCCCAGTTTATACTAGTAATTGCTCGATCGATTAATAATGCATCCCTTGTCACTCAGAAACCTCTTTGACACGGATAAATTGTCAAATAGTCGCGATCGCTTGATTGAAATTACTATGGCGAAATGATAGAAAAGCGAAAATGATACAAGTTCATCTCTCATTTTTTCGAAACGATTTTTATTCGATAGTAATTATTTAAAAAAAGAAAATTGTAAATAATTTTAGAGTTTTAGAGACTATATGAATATTTTTATCATTATTAATATTGTTTAATGGAGTTTGAAATCTTTTAAGATAATATCGTATCATGATCCTTTTAAAAGAGAAATTTTACATGCTATTAAAATATTGTTATTTGGATCAATATCTTTCGCATTCATTGACGTTTTAATTAGATTCAAAGAAGATAATATTATTCAATTATTATATTCTGAAAAAATTGAACGATTTCCAATAACGATTGCTTTAATTATTCCATTGAAATATATTACCTTTAAAAAGAACGATTATTACTTACTGTTTCGATATTATCCAACTACATTTTAAAAAAGTAAAATTCGAAGAGAAATACGCGATTAAGGAAAATTCGAAAAATAAATGTAAAATATAAAAAAACAAATTTTGAAGCCAAACAAATCGGACGAATCCAAAAATTCTCTAATTCATTTATTCAATTCTAATTTCTCTTTTTCATTTATATAGCCACTTTTCACACACTTATTATTATATCTAATCATCGAATAATCGAACTGCTGCAACACGAAAGGGTTGAGAAGCCTCTCCCCTTTGAGAACATTCCACCTTTCCAGCCAAGCTTTAATTCTCTGAATGATCTCGCCCAACCTTGTCTGCAACCTTGGATAAGTGGTTTGTTCCCTCAAGTCGGTCACACTGGCTGCATTAAATCGCGTAAACGTTGTGTGTCACCGAAGATCACAACGGGAGGTTTGGGGGAAAGTTCGCAGCGTTGCGGTTTCAAAAGCTTCCCGGTTCCGCAACAGCTCCAAGCCATCCGAGACACGCCAGTTCGAGTAACGTAAATTCAGAAAGGAGCGCGTAACTCGACCGACGAGAATTTCCGCCATGCTTCTCCATCCCGCCCCGCACAGGCACACAGGTTTCACGGCAGAGCATCGGTAGGAAATTCGCAGGAGAGAGCAGCCTGGATGGATTCGAATCGCGGATAAAATGTGAAACGAAAGAGAAAGAGAGAGAGAGAGAGAGAGAGACGATTACTTGCGAAATTCGAAATATCGCGAAAAATTAGAAGAAGAAGAATGAAAAATGAATTAAAACTGGTTCGATGCTCGAAGCTTACTCTCTTTTTTTCGTAAGAAAGTAGTTTTTTTAATTAATTGGAAATCACTGATGCGCGAATTTTTTTTTCTAGATGTTTCTAAATGCGAAGATGGATAAAAGATTGTACAAATTTGATTTAGTATTTTTCATTCCGAATACAGGAATTCTAATATTTGTCGGATACGATGGGATTAATATCAATAGAAGGTAATTGGTTTAGCTGTGATTGAATGGAAATGATTGGGCGTTATTTAAATTTGTTCTTTTGTATGTGTGTGTGTGTGTGTGATGTTACAATAAAAAGAAAAAAAGGGATTTTATTTTTTTTTTTTTTACAGAACAATTACGTCGTGAAATAT